ATTTACGCTAGTAGCACATAGGGCCTCTGTTAATTGTTCAATCCAACAAACCCTGGATTTCAGATTAGCAAGAAAGCGTCTAATACACTGAGCCACCGCAGATAACAGTTAACAAAGAAACTGTTAGTGACAAAAATCAGATTTAAAACTAAAAGACTGCATTTAAAAGGCAAGCATCATGCATCAAAATTTAAGAAGTGTGAGTTTGGTTAAGTCATAAAGAAATTACAAGAAATAAAAATCTGTACAGGCAAAACAATTTCGTTAACCAAATACATATCATGACAAAATCGGGAGCAGTGGACTCACACGAAAAGGACCATCTGATGTTATGAAAGTAGTAAACACGCCCTGCCTTTCAAGCGGCAATCGAAACTTCTATACAAGTCATCAAAACAATCAAATCAAACCTTCCAGATTTTGTGAAAACCAGATACCATCAGCAATCTCGATATGGATCCATGTGAAAATACACAAATTTAAAACTATTTTTTTTACAAGAGTAAGAACTCAGGTTAGAGAAGATCTTGTCAACATGCTGGTCCTTGGTCATCTAATGAATGAAGTACAGTCCTCAAAATGTTTAAAACTTGAGATCTTCCTACAAAAACGGTTTAAGGAATTGCGGATACCTTTTCATTTGTACGAATTGTATGTCAAATATGATTTGTTGCTGATGGAGCTACGGTTTGTCCTCGGAATGTTGAATAAAGTGGTGGAGAAACTAGGGCATCTCCATTCCAATACAAATTAGAACCCATTTAGTATCATTTGTTAGATGGAAAGCAAATGACGCCAGGATTCCAAAACTCAATTTAAATGAGCAGCAGTCTGTCTAAAAAATGTCAAGATCAACTTACCAAAAATGGGCGGAGTAATCGCCCTACTTCTTCATCTGTTCCTCTTCATCTGTTCTTCATCTGTTCTTCATCTGTTCTTCATCTGTCCTTCATCTGTTAGCGCGCGCCGCTTCATCTGTTCTTCATCTGTGAATAGGAGGATCTGTAGAATCATACAGGCTATGACCCCAGAACACTCCTACTGTGGCAGTGCTATAGTGGGTAGGTAAATTACCAGACGATTTACTCTTTATAATCTGAAATTGAATCAAACCAAAATAGTAACGTACCAAAACGTACAATCAACGAGCGATCCCAAACACAGCAGCAAATTTCATCAGCAATGCTTCAACAAAACGGGGCCTTGTTTAAGTCTTGGACTGGACTGATTTCAAGCCTAACCGTATGAGAACTTAAAAAGTCAGTAACTATTTCAACTATAAAAATCAGCATCTGTTTGAGCATTAAATTATCAGCAGCAACTGTACAGTCCGAATTGATTGGCAGACAGATAGACAATGGTGAGGAATTTCATATTCCCTTTCACACTGAATTATCACCCTGATCACACTTTGCAACTTGGTATGGAACTTAAAGTCACACAGATTAAAGATGGATTTCCTTATTTTTTTAGTGTCAAATTAAGCAAACTATTTAATTAATTGGTGTTTCTTATGAATTGTGGTGTATTCTTAATCATATCATTTTGTTCTTATTGCATATAATTAAGAGTCTTAACCAATCACAAATTTCTATGTATATACAGTCTGGATAAACTGATAAAATACTTTTTGACCTTTCTTTATCGGTCAATCGTTGGAATTCTGCTGGTAATTCTCTTCTAATTTAGCTAATTATGAATTAATTATGGACAGGTGTGACAAACTGGTAATTTTAATACGAGTCATTCGAACATCTGTACTTTTTATTCATATAAGTATTAGCATTTTCATTTTCATAGATGAAAATAAGGAAACCCATCTTTAAGTTTATTATGTTAACAAGTTGATTTTACAATTTTATTGGTTGACGAAAAAGATGTTTGCTAAGATCTAGAAATTTCAAAAGTATCTCCATTCAATGAGCAATTTTGAACTGTATAAAAAACACAAAAGCAGTCAAATGTTTGGTTGATAAACATAAATTGGATTTAGATTTTGGATTAAATGTTTTAAAATTGTATACAGAAAGATATGTAATAAGAATGTAATATCACCCACTCTTAATTCAGAGGTGCCTAGAATAGTCAACTCTTCAAAGGATATTGAGTTGTCAAAATCAGTAGCAGATTGGAAAAGGGGACATTTGTATAAGGTAATGTGCTGTTAAGAACGAACAACCATTTTAACAACATAGGTTCACCTATGATCTTTTAACCAACTGATCCGTGTCCCAACCGCTTGAAATTCATGATAAGGTTGACTGGAATGGGAACGACCACCATTAACCTCAAAATAATGACTCGATGTCAGCAGTAAGAGAGTTATCGAACTCTTTTGTGTTACGCCCATCAAGGTTGCATCCCCTATTATCAAAATATGTTTGTCAATCAAATTTGAAATTAAAATCAGTTAAAAGGAGTATTACGTTTATCTATTCTGCATCTGATTGAGTAATAGTGCAACGAAGTTAATAATGCCAAGACCGTAATATTAGCCTTGTTTTTCCGACGTCCAAATGTCGAGAGATCTTTCAGACGCAAAACCTGTAGCACACTGAGCCACCAAGGCTCCCTAGTAATATTTGAACCATTAGACTTTATGCATAATATGCCAGAACATGCAGAATTGGTAAGATATGATAATGTGAAACTTACACGAGGAGCTTCCATGCCACACCATAAGCACTTTATTCTTATATAATGAAACTCTATTTGTATACACCTAAAATAATTTTTTTTGTGTTATTCATTTCATCACAAAATATAAACTGTATATTTGCGTGTATGATATAAAGTTATCCACCCTGAAATACGTTGGACGACTTATGGGTGCACGTTATGCCCATTGACAAAGTTTTGGAAATTTTTCACTAGAGGTTATCCAATCAATATTGCCAGTCTGCTTTTACATATTTTGTTGCATTTATTTCTATGGGTTCGCTTATTCAAATCCTCTCAACATCATGACCGTATTGTAGTGTGGATAGTGCGCAAGTTTTTGTTATTAGGTATTAGTCTGAAACTTGTTCATTTCTACCTAGTTTTGACAAAGCCGACTCAGAAAAATTTTGATGCTTCTACATTGCAATTTTCAAGATAATCAAGAATTGATTCCCATACTTGGTCTATGTTTTCAGAAGAGAAACAATTAATCCTGATTCACTGCTTTCGAGGGAAAATTACTCCCCATAATTAACTTAATTTTTCTGATTATGTCTATCTTGATCAAATAAAGGTGAATGAGCTTTTCTTATCTTACCCTTGATCCTTTAAGTCAGTATTCAATGATATAAATCAATTCTCAACCAATTAAATTCATTGAACAATTGTGCACAAAATGATTATGTATATATTTGAATAGCTAAACCATTTGAAACACGACTTTTGTTGATCACATTGGCTGGAGAAAGTGGGATTTACTTCTCATTGATCAAAATATTAGACTATTGAATGAATCAAGGGTAATATATAAAGTAAACTCGAACACCTTTTCTAAATCAACTAGGTAAAAGTGAACAAGACAATGTCTGACGATTATGAAATGAAAATTCTCTTAACTTACCTCCATTTGTTTCAAGAGAGGCTGGGTGGACATGATATGACAGCTTAGCCAAGTACAACCTAGGTGGCCCTAACAAGGTAGCCCATAGGCTGCCACAACTAAACTACACGTGAGCCCAACCCAAAAACGCGAGAATTTTGTTCCGTGTGAACTACCTCCAAAAACCTAGGTTGCACACCATATCTAACCATGTTGTCCGTAGCTGAAGACGAGCTACTATACTCGAAACACTGAAATGTAAGAAAACGCCATGGTAAAAAAAGAATAAAAATAAAAATAAACTTTGTGTTTTACGATGTTATAATTATTTATTTTTACTTTTCTGATCAAGCTCATTTAAAATCTATATGTAACACTTTTCAGAATCATAATTTAAACTTTAGTCCAATAAACTAAACAAATTGAAAGATCTAGTAACATTCTCAGGTCATATAGTTTGTACCGAATTGTCTCATCATATCTGCTGTATCAAGGGTCACAATCATCAGACAAACTCAAACACGCTTGAAAAATCATTATGCCAATTTCCAAGCAAGCAATTATACACGTACGATATTTTTGCATGTAAAGAGCACAATTTTATACCCTGATAATCTACAACAATCTACAATGATATACTAACCTATACAGGAATGGTATCCAACCATGGTGTATTAACTCAATAGTAAAAACCGCTATTGAGCACCCTGACCTGAAACGAAATGACAAAACACAATAATATTATATTGAATAATTACGCATGGTCTTTGATAATATCCTCTGTTCGAAGCAATTTTAGGTCATTGTGAAGGCATTTTAACTTAAAAATTACACTTGTTAAAATTTCATGAAACGTTTCGACATATAAAGAAACTTGACCTTGAAACTATTTGGAGTCATTTTCCTTTTTTATTAAATGTATAAAAGTAGTTTGATAATGGGGCAAGCTCGGGCAGGCGTTAGTTCCGATTCCATAGAATTCCGCCTTTTTTCACTCATATACCTTATTTTGATTCCTAGTTCAGAGCCAAGCTTTTCCTCAAAGTCCCGTATCTCAACACAAATTTGCTATGGATTTTTGCTTTGATTCTTACATGTAACTTAGATATTTTCTTTCTTATGGCAAATAGGGAGGATGAGGGCATTTTTTAAAATGTATCTTAAATTTTAGAGAATTTCAAAAAGTCGACTTACCGGTTGCTATAAACGAAACAAATTGACTGAGCGACTAGTCACTAGTTAGGAGTGAATTTCACTTACTATCACTGATTAAAATCTATTGTCTTGATTACTATTCTGTAAAACATTTATATAGTCCGAAACCTGCTGTTTTTTTTTTCAGGCCTATTATACAGACAAAAGATGCATTTTAAATCATTTAAAATTAAATTCAAAAACCAGTTATTTAAAAAGAAACAAGGGAACCGTGCAAATAAGAATATAGAATTCTAAACTATGATAGCCACTTTTTAAAGTTTCTAGAGAACATCCACATAAACGATATCTACAAGTTAAAACTACAAAAAAAAATGCTCTAATAAACGAACTATGGGCGTTATTCTTAGAAATATACCACAAAATTCAAAAAAGACAAAATATTTCCAAATAACACAATTTTGCATAAAATGTGCACTTGTACACATAATTAGACCCATGGGACCAAATTAAAATCAGATGATTTCAAGCTAGTTGCTGTGTAAATTTCATCATCCTATCTCAAGTGGTTTGGCCGTGGTGAAGTTGCAAAGTTTGGATTTTCAAAAAAGGCAAAATTGGCAAATTTCAACAGGCAGCGACTTATGGTACCAAAATCCATTTTTGGGTCGAATTTTTTTTATCTCGGAAATCGATGTAACACGGTTTTTTGGACTCGGTGCTTCTCTAGCTTTCCCCCAATGTGCATAAAAGTGAATTCTGAGCACTTTTTTTGCGGAATTTTGTGAAGCATCAAAATTTGGATTTTGAAAAAAGGCAAAATTGG